TTAATCATAAGGTAAACACTAGGGATGTAACGGTATCAGAATTTCACGGTACGGTAATACCTCGGTATGAATGTCACGGTACGGTATTTATTGAATCATTTACAGGAAAAAAAAACTTTTGAAAATACTCCAAAAAAGTGCCAAAAGTGTCAATGACATACAAATTAGCCATCTATCTGTTAGCTTTGAAACAGGAACTTCAATTTTAATAACAAAAAATTATTAAACCATGTAAAAAAATAAAGTTTCAATTTAGTATTGTTGAAAACTCATCACATTTAACATTTAATCACTCACTTAGATAGAGATGGGTTTAAAGGAAAATTATCATATAACTATAATCTGGTAAAAGCTGGGATCTCTGGGTATTTACAATGTCCCCTGCAACAGAAAAAAACCCTCTCATTTGGGACTGAGGTTTCTGGGACAAGAGAGATATGACTTGGTCCATGTTGACAGCAGTGGGTAACGTTGTGCATTGTCTTTCCCCCACTTGAGAAGACAAACCATGAGTGAGATAGAGGTCTCTTTGCGGTACAAGTCAATGTCTGCATCAATCTGAACAGTGTGCTGTGTTTCTGCAGTCCCCATGACTGTTATTAGTCGTATTCCCCAATTTGCAGGCACGTGCACACATAGGGCTCAACCTGTGCAGTGCACATGCCCTTTTTAGTCTTGGATAGAAAATGCCCTTCCAAAACGATCAAAGGTGCCCCCGCGACGCGACACAACCTCCGTCCAGTCCAGCCCTTCAGTAGGCGCGCGACAACACCTCTCGAGTATGCGCGCTCAAACCCCCCTCGGCGCTTTACAATACGCGCGCCACAACACAGCTGATCAGAACGCGCGCGACAGCACCGCTATTCAGCACGCGCGCGGCGACAACACCCGCTTTAGGTTCGATCATTTCCATCTTTTTTTCATCTCCGCTACTAGCAGCACACTCCATTTCCGCATTACTGGATCTGTAGCGACAACAGACCGCAAAGGATTATGGCCACGCCGGGGCTGATGGGAAATGAAGTTTCAGCTAGCTCCCATTCGCTTCATTCGCCTGAGCAAATTTTCTCAGAAGACCTATAGTTTTACCGAGTCATGCGACTTCGGTAATATCGAAAAAATTTAATATTGCGGTATGACGGTATTTACAATACCGTTACATCCCTAGTAAACACAAAACAACAGTTTCCATCTGGAGCTCCTTCACGGGACTCCACACTTGTAAACACTCGCTGAGGCTCTCAATTCTGCCTACACTCGTCAGCGCAACCCAGCCGACCAATCACAGAGCTGGATACCGTGGCACTTGATACATCACTCGCTGTCTTGGTCACAGACGCACTAGCGAGATGCACACCAACAAGAAGCTGGTTGGTGGCAGTTGCCAAAACTTTCCATTGTATCGATTTCTTTAAAAACAAATGTCCCCTCTCTATGCAAGGCAATGCATTATCACTATGAACAATTATAAGGATGTATTCTTTCTCATGAGACATTTTAAGAAGGTTTATCACAAATAAAGGGCTCAAATCTGCAAATATGGAAAGCTCTGAGTTTACCGCGTCCACATTCACTTTCTCTGCAGCATCATATATTGATTTGTCATTATAAATATATTCTTGTGGACAGTTTCATCTTGACAGGTTAATCTCAAGACATGTGCATGTGTGTTTTTTTTATAAAGTTTTTCCAGCTTTCAGTTTTTCAAAGAAGTTCTATACACATGCTGGGTTTACATCAAACACAGAATTAAGTATTTTCGCAAGTAAATTCCATACAAATTGATGTAAACGTAAGAACATGTTTTCCTTACTGTTTCAGTAAGGAGGTTCAACCAACTCAGAGTTTAAACTTGAACTTTGAGTTGATTTATCAAGAGATTAAAAACTCAAGAGTTTTCAGTTTCAGAATAGCTGATCTGAGTTAGGTCAATCAACTTTGAGTAGACCAACTCAGAGTTAAGCGCGCACACACACTGTGACTATAAAAAGTCATTATCAATGGAGCGCAGATATTACGAGTCACCATGGCAACATCTGAAAAAAGAGATCAGCATTTATTTCTCCAGCTGAACTTAATGTGCTCATGCAAAGTTATGGTAAATATGACCATATACATATACATCTACATATAAAGCAACACCACTGCAACAGTGAAACAGAAACAGTTAGTGTGGGAAAACATAGCTGTTCAAGTTAATGCAAGTTAATTTACATTTAAAGTATTTAAATATTTAAGTATAATAAAATAAGTAATGTAATGTGTCACATTTGTTAAATTTTTACTTGAAAAAGTGGGGAATTGGCTGCAATTATGAAGCTATTTCAGATAATTGCATTTTCAATAACTGCATTAAATTACAGAAATAGGCTACTGCATAGTTTCTACAACTAATTTGTGTGGATGTTTATGTTTCCCAGTTTTACACACGTTGATGGGTTTAAAAGATTTAAAAGTGCACTTGTGTGTCTGCCTTTTTTATTGATTAAGTGATAGAGGTTGATATGACATTTTGAATGTAAGCAGAACTAAAAAACTGTTTTTAGAATGAGTAATAATCCCATTAATCTATTACAGTACATGTCCCAGTTCAGTGAATTTAGGCCTAAGCTAATTATTTATTAAAAAGGGACAAGCCATTCTCGTAAGTGACTTTGTTTTTTGTGTGACTTAAATGTAGGGAATAGCTATGTTTCCATCCAAATATTTTAAAAGCAAAACTTTATTTTAAGCAAAACTGGATTATCGCATAAAAGATGTGCGAACAACGCAGTGTTTCCATCCAACGAGTAAAAGAGAACAAAATTGTCACTTCCTGATTAACTGGCACCACATAGCAAAAGTAAAAACAGAACTTACAGCGGTACAAGAAGCTGCGTCAATCTTTTCTTTAATTAATAAATGTACTTGCGCCTCAGTAGACAATGCGCAATGAACAATACACAATGAACAAGTGGGGGCGTTTGAAGCCATGAGACGCAGAGAACAGATGCTCTTGACACGCTCCAGACGCTCTGGAGGTCATTAATAACATAATAACCCTAATTTTGTAATTGTTAAGGCATTTTAGAATGACCAAAACAACATTTAGGATGTTAAAGATTTAGTATGCTCAGCCTGATGGCTTGTCCATTTACACACATTTCCATCAACATATGATCTCTTATAACACATTTTTTTAATGCGCATACTGGAATTAGTTCAATAAAAGTGTTTCCATCGCATTTTTTCTTATCGAATAAACATTTATTCTCTGTTATGCGAATGTTTTTTTGCGTATTTTCACAAATTATGTCCATCATGACATTTCCATCAAATTTTTTTATGTGCATATCCAAAATAAGCATTAAAATAGGTGGGTGGAAACGTAAGGCTAAGGCGAGAAATACGGCTTCGTCTTTAAAAACAGGGAGGAGAGTGACAGAAACTCAGAGTCTAGAGAATAAAAGCTGCTCCTGACCATGTTAGGTTCACATAGTAAGTTACCACAGTAACTGACTCTGAGTTAAATAGGCTACTGCATAGTCTCTTTCAGAAACAGGCTTGACTTACCGTGCTCGAGTTTAACAAACCTGTCATTTTGAAACGGGAAACCCAGAGTTTCTTTCATTTCAGGGTTAAAATACTAGTTTTCACTTAACCTCCTTTCTGAAACGGGCCCCAGAGGAGGATTACCATCCCGCCTAGCGAACAATACAGAATACGCAATTGATTTGTGTCTTCTGCGTGTGGTGTGAACCAAGCCGTGTTGGCCAATCAGAAAAATAAAAAACTGTGTACACACTGACATCATGAGGCAAAAACTCTGGTTCAAGAGTCCACATGAACACATTGTACCCAGATGTTGGGAAAATCTTCACCCTGATCAAAGTTTTCTGAAAATTTTGGTTTCAGTCACCCAATACTTTGTATTCATGTGACAAACAGCAAAACCGCATACATAAAAAAGTGTGGTTTTGAAAATACCCGAGTTCGTGTGGACAAGGCCTCAGATAAAGTTTGCCTTGAGTACGAGTGACTAGTTATTGAAGCCTCCCCCAGCAGCTCAGTTAAAACAGCGTTTGGCACGCCACTTCACTCTCTCATTCCAAGGAATCAGATTACTAATTTATGACATTTACATTTGTTGGGGTCTTCTGGTTTACATCACTGAAGCTTTCAGCAAGTTTATCCCAAAGAAGGTCTTCAAAACAGACAGGTGGGTAACTACTGTAATGTTTTTGCTGCAGTGAGCAGGCCATGAGCTCTGAGTTTACCACGTTCACTTTCGCTTTCTCTTCAGTTTCATATAGTGATTAGTCAATAAGAACAGTGGTGTCGATTCAGGTGGAAAGTTAGGATGATCATAAGAATCTTTGGGGGCCAATAAAAATGATAAATGCATCTAAAGTTACAGGTGAATGTAGAGTTAAAAATGTATCTTTGCAGAAAAAAATTCAATTACAGCTTATTTCTGTCTCTATGGTCAAATTACACCCCTCCTCCCATTTCCTGCATAGTTCTGTCCAAACTATGCAGAGAGTCTCAATTTGCTGCTGTGTGTGATCAAATGGTAAACTGTCAAAGCAAAGCCGTCCTCCAGTTAATGCTGTGAAGGCCTGTGAAGAACAGGTGCACGTCATGGGTTTCACATGGAGCTTCAGTCACTAGGAATGGGGTACTTTAACTATAATGTTTTCAATGGAATTTCCTGATTTAAATTTAGCACATAGTGTTTTTATTAAAATTTTTTTAGGACTCATGAAAATTAAGCTTGAGGTATTTATTAATGCCTCATAATAATAAATGTTAACCCTACTGCATTTTAAAGGATGGCAATACTAATTATATTCATTTTTGTATCAACACTCCATACATATACTAATGCAATTTATTAAAATAATATTTTTATTAAAAAAAATTTAAAAAGTAAATATATTTTTCAAGTTCATTTTTGGGATACTTTTTGGTCTGAAACATATTAACTTATTGAAGGTCTATTTGTACACATTCCTGAATTGAATTACAGATATTGTTTATAAACATGCTCTGTGGGACTCGTTTTCTGTTTCTGAGGGCTGGGTAAAGGGGAGGTCCTTCATTGCATTTGAAGATTCGATTACGAACACATCAGGAACTGTTTACTTCGTCTATCACCTCAAGGCAAGTTTCTAATTTGTCACTGTCTGTCGTTTTTAGTCTGCAACAGTCACTGTGCTATTCTAAAGTAATGAAATTATGCGACTACAAACCTGCATTTTGAAAGAAGCTCGTATCCTGGCTACTTTATGGCTCAAACAATGTAAAGCAGATATCCGCGTTACTGCAGTCTGCTGAGCTGATAGTGAAACTAACCGTCGATGACTACATTGTATACATAGAACTAAGTATATCCTACTATCAAAGCAAAGTTGAAATTTACTAACAAACCGCAAAACGCGTTTCATTTGTTGCAAGTCTGTTCTCCCGCTGAACGCTCTCCAGTATGACGTCAGAGGAAGTAGTCTACGTGGCGCTCAATGCTCCATGGGTGTTGTAGTCCGTAGAAGTGTTACTTTAGAACAAGCGTTTATTACAATATAACCCGCCTTGTAGGAGTAAAATTGTTACATATATTTAAAATGTGGATGAGTCTATCTTGCTTTTACTATTTGTCTATGATTAAGTCTTGTCGCACTGCAGGGTTTATGTTGAGTGAGAAAGGCTTTGTAGGCATGTTCTTCAACAAATCAGTGTTTTGAATGAATGTGTTTACAATGAAAGAAATCCTTGAATTATAACCACCTTTTGATTGTTTGATTTGGAGTGTAAACAAAAATATTTTTTCACCATCACATATAAACATCCCAAGTTGGAAAAAATTCATTTCCAGGGGGGAACATATGTTTGCGAGAAATGTGTGGGGTGGGTAGGGGGGTGGTATGTGAACTTCCGGGAGATGTCTGTATAAAATTTATAACAAGCAGAAGGGAGACTGAATAATGTCCATTACAAAAATGAAGGGTTTTAGCTGACATAAAAAGTTAAAGTTCCCATAAACCGGAAGCTGTGATCGTTATTTTTTTCGTATTGTGATACAGTTCCTAGAGAAATGGAATTTTAGGCTGTTTCTTAATTCCAAGAACGCAGAGAACAGGCCTGCGTTCTTGTGAAGACCAGGCTTGCCAGGTCGGCTCAGAAGAACGAACTCGAGAGACCGCGAGAACAGAACGTGTCCTATAAGAAATGAGATGTTGCATAGGCCTTTTTCACACTTCCTGGTTCCGGTAAGCGAAGCAGTGTACCACAACATCCGGTTTCAATGCGACGGAGCAAGAAAGAATGGCAGGGTCATCTCATCGCTGTGATTGCTGCGTTGCCAGCTGCTCCAACTCAAAAACGACACTCTTACTTTAATGACCAAGATCTCCCGAAAGACGAAGGACAGGGAAAATCATGGATGACAATATTAAAGGGGGTTGAATGCCGTTTCAAGTTATATGCGGGAGTACATTCTTATGCTGTATGCACTTCAAAGCGGAGATTATTGTTTCATTAAAAACTGATGGTCTATGGTTTATTTTGATGAGTAATTATAATATAGACAAAACTCCAGTTAAGCTATCTGCCTTCCACAAACAAGTGCTCATCATAGTCATTAATCTATAAGCATGATTTATCATGCTTATTTTGGAATAGACAGTTCATACAAATGCAAATCTCTTTTTTTTTAATTGGTTTGACAGCAAAATTATTTGTTTAGTCAGTTATATAATAAAGATGGTAAACTTTTCTTACAATTAACTCCTTTATTACAAAATCTCAATAACCCAGCAAGTTTTAAACTGTTATTGGTTCAATTCCTGCAGAGATGTTATTCATTCATGTTATTTAGAGGTATTAATAAGACCATCCTTCTGATGCATCGTCTTTTCATATTACTAAATCTTATGTCAGCAAATTTTGTTTTACTAAATACCAAGAGTAATGATAGAGCTATTCATACTCTTTTCCAAAAAGAAATCATTACTGTACCTTATATTCAATTTTATTATATGTCTTTATTAAAGGGTGAATTGAAGAAAAGTCTGGCTGTTACCACAGAAATATCATGTTAGAAATAGAAATAAAGAAATGTCCTATAAACTCATCCACAGGTTTTATCCAGCAAAACATTGTTTGCAAAAATTTAAAAGTGGGATTGATGTAAATTGTATTTTTGTAACGAATATGAGGAGACAGTTTTACACTTATTTTGGCATTGTACATAGTCAGCTTATGGGGTAAGCTGCAAAATGTATTAATAACGATTCTTTTGTGTTCAAAACCTCTTTCATTATGGATATATGTACATTTGGGCTTTACTTGATTATCCTAATCTAGAGGAAAATAGTTTTATTTATTTATTTGCTTATGTTGTTAACAAAATTGTACATTCAAAATGTAAATTTACTAATATGAAACCAGATTTTAAGGTATTGATGACTGAAATATGCTTGCATAATACCAGTATCAACTCGACCCACTTTAAAATGTGTGAACTCTACCATGTATTTTATTATTACATATGTTATATTACATTTTGTATATTTGTATTTTATTTATAATTACCCCCTGGTATGTACATTTTTGTATTGTAAAATGTTATTTGCTGTTCTTTAAATAAATAATAAAAAAGTAAGAGCTAACGTGTTTCCAGACTTGAGAAAACCTCACGAGCATTAAACAACCTGTAATGCATTAACCGATAGCAACTCGCCATTCACTATATCTGACTCTGAATAAAAAGGAAGGAGGGGGTTAGCACAGTTTACAGACGGGACTACTGACATAAAACTCATCCTGCTGGATGTTAAATAGCCAGGTTAATCTGGTTTACGAATGGCTTGAATGAGCAGATTTTATGCTGTTGGCTGTGCACTTTACTGGAACCTGACGTTGCAAACGCTGTGTAAGACACGTTTTCTGCACAAATTCTGCAAATCGGTATCATCTTTTAAATGCTGTTTTATTAAGGCAGTTTTACACATTCACCGAACAACATCTTCCTGTCCAAATTATGGCAAAGTTGACCATGAGAAAGTCATCCGCTGTCCCGAGGCTGTCATGTCTCTGCGACTCCTAGCGAACCCGGAAATATCGATACACTGCTTCGAAGGGCGCTTCCGGTGTTCAATTCCGCTGTGAAAAAGGTCTATTCTTCCCTGGTTTTTCCTGATGGTCACGTGACCTTCACGCGTTTTTAACGGAAAATGATTTAAACATTACAGCATTCATACATCGATTTACTTCAATTTTCCCCTTTAACAATATATACTATGCCTAAAGACTTTGCAAATATACCTTGCACAATACAAATAAAACAGATTTTAATACTAATTTCAGCAAAATAACACCCTTAATGTGTGTTTTATGCCTTTATTAATATTCTCATGGTAATGCTTACTTTCACCGTTTCATTTAGGTAAATTTAGGGAGGTAAATACGTTATATCTCTAAACTTAAATAATAAATCTATATAAAATGGTGCACTTTCCACCTTTTCCCACCTTTAGTCGCAATGATTTCTGAGACTTCTAGAGTGAGTGCTGCATCGACGTGTCCTCGATACCAAGAACACATTAGGGAATTTTCATGTGTCCTCCATTCTTGCGGTCTTGAGTTTTGGAACTGAACGTTGGCAGTTGATGATGACGTTACATGAGATCACGAGGACACAAGGTCGCTGAAGAACGCATATTGAGAAACAGCCTTAATGACACAACAGTGGGTGTGGCTTGTTTTTTCTACCACTGGTTGAATGAATGTAGCAAAGTAGGAATTTCGTTTAGAAAGATTGAGAAAGGGGTTTTAGAAGAGTTATTACAACCTAACAGACCCCTGCTTAGCATTTCTGTTTATTGTCAAAACTGACAGTTGAACCAGCGTGATTAAATATGTTAGCCCATTACCTCAAAATCACATAATCTGCGAATAAGACTGAAAACAAACAGGAAGTGCATTTTCAAATTTCAATTAAAGGGGCAAACATTTTTTTTCTTAATGATATGCACAGATGAATTGTTCACCACAAAACTGAGTTAACAAAATCATATGGTTAGTTTTGATCTCTTGGGGACTTTAAGTGTTCTGGGACTGTTCCTTAAAGGTTTTTCATTTCTCTTTTGGTGGAAATCAAAAACTAAAACTCATTAAACATTGCAGGGTGTACTTGCAATAAACCAGGGTTACACAAAATATATTAAAACATGGTTTCTACAAAGGGTGTGAACATGAATTATCTTAAATGTTACAATACATTCTTAGGAACACTTTATGTTTTGACCATTTATTTATTTTAGGGGCTTGAAAAGGCTTTAAAACAACATTCAAATATGTATTTTTTGAAAACAATTATTTTTGTTTTAATATTTCATATTATTTTATCATTAATGCCTCTGCACATTTGTGCAGACACAGATTGGGGAGAGCAGGGATAGAAGTAACATGGGATGAAAGTAAAAGGGATTTTCTCAAAGCCCTGACAACATTTGCTTTCCAGTCTATAACAGCACATTTAGCGTGCAACCCTTGATGGAGCTGCCAAATATCAGCTGATATCGAGGCCATGTCCCGTGATTTGGTCCGAATTTCAGTTTTAAAGTGCAGAAACTAAATTATTGCAGCAGTTCTTTTTTTCCTTATTACAAGTTGCGTTTCTCTTTTTATGAGTCACAGTAATGATCAATCTACAGGTTATTTAGTGCATGAACACTTACTTAAGTTTGAATTGTCTGAGTTTTTCAATGTTTAAATGACACAAGTTCCTGTGGGGACGAAAGTTATTCATGTCCCATTGTTAACAGACAAATCTTATTTTTCACTTCCACATTAGAGTTTGCAGTGTTTGGATTCAGTTGTTTTTTTGTTTGTTTGTTTGTTTTTTTATGTATATTTTCAATAATAATAAAATATTCAAAACTTTTCAGAAAAATGTTAACATTTTGCATTGTTGTGTTGCTTTTAAAACATTTGATGGAACTGAAATTTAAAATCAAAACAGTTTAATATTTTTGCAAAAACAAAAGACAAAATATGTTTGCAGTGAACATCAACAAGGTCATAGTCAGATATATTTAAAAATATTGTTTTGTTACTTTCATCTCTGCTGTTGGGGTTTTAGATAACAATGTGCAGTTTTTCTACATTGATAGAAAATAACACCGGCTTTTAATAGAGCACTTTTGTGAGTCAGTAACCACACCAAAATATATATTTCTGAAAGTTAATTATTTTTTAAAATTGTTTTTATTTTATTTATTTTTTTTTTATGTTACTTTCGTCCCTGTTGCGTAAACTTAAAGTATTGCTGTCTGAATTAAATTAAAATGAAAGGGAAAGCTTTTGGTTTAGGCTTGTTTTCCTTTCATACAGCACTCTGCTTTGAATGTTTAGGTTGAAAGCTTGAATAACAATAATATCCCTTTTGCACACAAACACATACAAACACAAAAATGATAATTGTAATATAAAGATTATTAAAATAAAAGCACTAGCTTGTCGCCCCCATTGGTAAACGATGTTAACTGCACCGATACTTATTTAAACGTATCATTTATTTATTTATTTACTTACTTATTTATTTATTTATTAATCTATTTATTTTATCATGCTATATTTAATTTATTTATTGTGAACGCATAAAGAAGACTGAATCCCCATCACTACTGCCCGTGGCACCTCTTCTTTACCTGCATGCATAATGAGTTAGCTGTATGGCTCGAAAAGTATTATTAATAATTATTATTTTGCCTAATAATAATACTTTGAATTATTGATATTTCCGTTACAAGTAGAAGTTTTGATATTAACCCTATACTAATCATGTGTCAGGATTTAAGCAAGCAATCAGTGAGTTAGCTGTGCGTCTTGGTTATATAAACGCCCAGATTTCAATGATGAGACGCAGGACGTCTGTCATGTTGTTTTCTGCCCGGTTGCGTTCGGCATTATGGACGTCGCCTGACAGCGCTTTACGGACAGAAGGGCAGGACTAGAAACTGCAATGAAACACATCGACAGGGAGGTGTCTGAGAGGCAAGTGTAGAGGCAGGAGAGCTGGCAAACGCCGGGCGGAACAGTCGCTGCTAATCTGACAGACCAGAAGTGCCGTGAAGCTCTCGGTAAATATGCGATTGAATGAGCGTCATTTGCCCATTGACTCGTTATTTTTGCATGCTGGGTGTTTTTATGTAAATTGTTATGTTGATGGGTTTTCCTTTTCTTTGTTCTTTTATTATTGCACGCATTCCCCTGCTGTTACTCCCTCTCTCAATCTGTCTGTTGACAGCCGCCGCGTTATAACGCGTGTAATATACCCTAGGTTTGTTTTTATCACGCATCTCTACTATCCTGTCAGGGCGCATTCCATCTGAAGGATCCTAATGCAACAGCAATGCAACAATTCCCTGTTGTCTTTGTGTCGGCCAATTAGGCTCAAATATGTTCCTGCAGGTTTATGTATGCTTTTAATGCAGGTATATGGCTTGGAATTCTCTCATGACTCATGATTTTTAGAAAAGTGCAGTGCGGAGGTGTTGCCAAAACTGAATTTCAGATGCCATTCCTGTCTTTGTGCTGCGGTCTCTATCAGGCTGCTGGTCGGTCTGTGAGTGAGGGTGGGGAGGGGGTTGGTGAAGTAGCCGGAATGTGTGTGGGTGGGTGGTATATAGAAATGATCATGTGGTCAACCCAGGCCATCAAGGCAGGTGTGATGCAGTTTGGCTTGACGGCAGTGTCTACGCACAGATACTCTCTGCTGCACTTTATCACAAAATGTCCTTTATATCTGTTTCTTTCTTTCTCCCAGGTGCCCTCGGGCTCACTGTGTCTGTTGGTTGGGATCAGGAGGCGAGGAGCAGCTGAAGCATCTCTCAGAGGCACACTGTCAACATTTCCAAAAGCACTGAAACCAAAGCAGCAGTCACGTGATTTAAGCACGAATTAAACCGATTGCATAAAAAGCTTCTTGATGAGGCAGGAAAATGAAGCAAGAACAGGAAGCGAAGGCGGTGTTGCTGGACTGAAATACCAAATCAAGCTCTTCAATGCGCAACCCAACCAATTAGAGCACCCTCAATCAAATCTACATGTACGTCTGAGCGTGTGTGTCTGAGCTAGCGCTTGAATCTATGTTCTTATGCAGGGATGGAGTGGTCTTTAGAGCGGATGAGGGAATGGGTGGCAGGTGGCATGCAGTCGGTGCGAGAGTGTGAGTCCAGCGCTCTAGGCACTGCTCTTTGTCTCGCCCTTCTGTTTATCTGGTACTGCTATCGTGTGGGATGTGAACACACCAGCCCATCTCTCCGTGGCGGTTTCAGCCCTGAGCCGCGTGTTGGCGCTGTACCTGGCGTTCTGGCCTCAGAGCTCTCGTCCCGTGGAGGCTCCTCCAAACTCCGGCAGATCGGTGGGGTTGGAGGAGGTGGAGTCAGTGATGAAGAACTCAATGGGTTTGCCTACTGCCAGTCCTCAGAATGCTTCCGGTGCACCAAACCTGGTGAAGGCCTGAACCAGCGGCTGTACCACAGCCTGCAGGAGTACGCCAAACGCTACACCTGGGCTGGCATGGGCCGCGTGCACAAGGGCGTACGCGAACAAGGCCGTTATTTACTCTGCAGCCGTCCGTCTATCCAAAAACCTGAGGTTTTCTTCTTGCCAGACCTTCCCTCAGCTCCTTTCTTCTCCCGGGAAGCGCAGAAGCATGACGTGGAGCTCCTGGAGAGAAGTTTCCCTGCACTTCTGGCTGAGTTTGAAAGTGTATACCGGCTGCCATCCAGTCGGACCGGCTCTTCACTTCCACCTGGCTGGAAGGCCAACAGTACCCCCCGTGGCCAGTGGTGGACCTTCTATCTGGTGAACCAGGGTACTCCAATGGTGCTGAATGCCAGAAGGTGTCCACGTACATGGAGGGTTCTTGGGCAGCTCCGTACTTTTATTGCCAATAATGTGTTTGGAAATGCCTGCTTCTCTGTGCTCAGTCCAGGATCCACCATCACTGAACACTACGGCCCCACTAATGTACGCCTGCGCTGCCATCTTGGTAAGAGGTTAATGGATTGGAATATATGAACACCACCAGTCAGAAGTTTGGGCTCATCCACTCGTCGTTTATCTTAGCCTACGTGTTTTTGGGAAAAGCCAAATATATTGCATGGGCCAAAATATATATATTTTTTTATATTATGCCAAAAATCATTAGGGTATTAAGTAGAGATCATCTTACATGGAGACATTTTGTTTGGTAAAACAATCTAAACGCAATTCAGTAATATGGCTATAATGAAATTTGGACAACTTTAAAGGTGATTTACCAGCTGATTCGAATGTTATCACGAAATTAAAATGGCGTTTTCAGTGGTTATCAGCTGATAGATACAGGCCAGTAGGGGCCTTCTGCGTATACTGGTAGGCTCCTGTTATCCACATGGTTAATCAGCTATAAATAACATACAGGAAGTTAAAGAGAATTATATATATTACTTATTAAATTTTCCAATAATTGTTTTCTTTTAATGTCCACTCCAAACCTAAACCCAACTGCCACAGTAAGGTAAAAACAGATCTGTATTTGGAGTCTTCTCTATTAATATAGTTGATTAACCATGTGGATGGATAATAATAGCCTTCTGAGCCTACCAGTATGTGCAAAGCCATATCTATCAGCTAAAAGCCACTGGTAACGTCTATTCAATCGAGTGATAACATTCGAAGCGGGCGTGATTTTCTTAAAAGTTAGATTTTTCTAAACGATTAGATTCCAGATGGAGTTGCATCTAATAGCCAAATTTAAACCACACTTGTCAATGTATTTTTTCCAGCTTTCAGATGATGTATAAATCTAAATATCTGAATAAACACTTATGACTGGTTTTGTGATCCGGGGTCACATTTGTCATCATATTTTAGAGTAACTCAAAAAGTGGTATGGAAATCTTACAAATATAGGTTGGGGTCAGTAAGAGTTTATATTTGTATTTTGAAAAACTGAAATTATTAATCAGGCATGCATATAATATAGATTCCTAGTTATCAATGTCCTCTAGAAATGTTTTTTCAACATCGAAAGTGGAAGATATTTAAAGCAGAAAATCAGCATATCATGTGACACTGAAAACTGAAGTGCGGCAGCTGAAAAATTTTGTTTGCCATCTTATTAATATTGCATTTCAAAATGTATTGAAATAGAGAACAGTTGTAATATTATTTCATAACATAATAATTTTTACTGCATTGAATAAATAAGCAAATAAAAAACTACATGAATAAAACATTTTTTGAAACTTAAATTAAACCCAATTTATTAAACAGTAATTTGCATTAACATATCAATAAATATTTCAGATTATTTTAAACATTACGTAAGTAGTTTAAATTTAAACTGGACACATTTTGAATACTGTAACCTTAGTATAAATAAATAAATAAGTCGCAAGGATATTTTCCTAGTGTTGGGTTGCAGTTGGAAGGGCATCTGCTGTGTAAAACATATGCTGGACAAGTTAGTGGTTCATTCTGATGTGATGACCCCTAATTAATAAAGCAACCTATCTGAAAAGAAAATGAATGAATGAAAGTTTGCAAGGAAACTAATTTAGAGGCAGATTTTATTTTCTATCAAACGGATTTTCAGGCGCAAAACTTTAAATCAAACGTGCCCAAACATCTGACAGGTATTGTGTGTTTTAAACCACTGTGATGCACTATCTGTCTGTTTAAGGTATATTCATTGTGTGTGTGTGTGTGTGTGTGTGTGTGTGTGTGTGTGTGTGTGCAGGACTGAAGGTGCCCTCTGGTTGTGAGCTGGTAGTCGGTGGAGAGCCGCAGTGCTGGTCTGAGGGAAGCTGCCTGCTGTTCGATGACTCTTTTCTTCACACTGCATTTCATGATGGTGAGAAAGACAAACAATGCATTGCCTAAATGTAATAGATAGTAGAGCACAGGCCTTTGATATAAAATAAAGAGTGCAGTGGTGGTCAGCTGATATGAATTTTTAATGCCGAAAAAAAACATTCAGTGATGCTGACATCTTATGCAGCAGTCTGTCTGACACAATCCCTATCAAACTATACATGATCTTACATTATTTAGTTTAAACATATAAAGGTTTGAATTATACATTTTATATATTTCAGATATTTATTATATTTAAAAATACAGGTTTATATTAACTTTAAAAGGAATTTCTTGACTCTGTACTGTTTATTAATTAATAGTAGACTACCTGACAAATGTCTTGTCGCCTATCCAAGTTTAAGGAACAACAAATAATAGCTTGTCTTGTAGTTGATCATTCGCTATCAGAAATGGCTTCAATGAAAGACAAATCTTCATCTTACCAAAGACATGCTCAATAATTTTCATCTCTGGTGACTGGGCTGGCCAATCCTGGAGCACCTTGACTTCTTGGCTTTCAGGAACTTGTTGATGTTGAGGCTGAAGTATGAGAAGAAGTGCTATCCTGCTGAACAATTTGCCCTCTCCTGTGGTTTGTAATGTCTGTTTGTAATGGGCAGAACAAATGCCTTGACACCTCAGGCTGTTGATGTTGCCATCCACAGTGCAGATCTCTTACTGAATGTAACCCCAAACCATGATTTTTTCCTTTACCAAACTTGACTGAATTCTGTGAGAAACATTTTCTAAACGGGTTCCAACAGGTCTTCTGCTGCATTTCTGATGATTGGTATGCAGTTCAACAGATGATTCATCAGACAAATCTATCTTCTGCCACTTTTCCAAATGACCAACTGGAAGTCAAGTTATTATTTGTTACACTTACAACTGGGATCGATGACAAGACTTTTGTCAGGTAGTCTAAATAATATAATAATAGTATTTTGCACATATAGAGATGTGTAAAAATAGATGTTAACTATAAATAAAAAATATATTTTAAAATATGTGTAAATTACAGTTTTATCAAATTATAACTAGTACTGATTATATATATATATATATATATATATATACATACACACACACACACACACACACACACACACACATATATATATATATATATATATATATATATATATATATATATTAGTGCTGTCAATCGATTAAAAAAATTAACTAATTAATCACACCTTTTTTAAAAAATTAATCGCGATTAATCGCATTTAAAATAATGAAACTTGTAATTTTGGCTATTCAAATGGAAAATTAATGTAAATGCAAAACAAAAACTATTTAAATTTAAAATATAATTGTTTATTAGAATTAAAATTCAAAATGTAATTGTCTAATAGAATTTTTGTTTAACTTGTAACACAGATTTCCTCATGTAAACAACATACCCACAATAAACCATCAAGATCCTGGCTTGACAGCCATATTTATTAAAGAAATTAAAACACAGGCATGTTAATGACATTTAAATTTCAAAACAATCAATGCCAATAAAGAAAACATTGATTTCCATGTTGGATTCTAAGTGGACTGCAAAAAAATGCCAAAATACAGGAATTGCAGATATGGAAAATGAAAAATTATAATAATAAACTATAGAATACAAACTGTTGCACTCATTGTAAAGTTTTGTTGCTGTGAGTTGAGAACATTAGTTATAGAGTAGAAACAATTTTGCTTAATCCTCCTTTACATTCATCCAGTTGCTAAGACTAGGAGTATCCAGCAAGTGCACAGAGACTCCCAAATGCCCGCAAATGAATGATAATTTCTCGCAAACCGGTCGTTAAATACATTGCACACCCCTCTCCCCCGCATCCCTCCTAGCTCTTCAGGTAGCCTATGTCGCGCGCAACTCACCCCCACCGTCCTTCAGGTACGTTTCACGCGCACACGCCCCTACTCAGATACGTCGCTCACTCCACCCCTGACACCCTTCAACGGGCCTGACACAGACACAGACAGACACACACACAACGCACTGCAGACGTTTTGGCCCCAACGGCCTTCCATACTGGAGCAACTCCCCTCAGATTTGCTTAAACTAAGCGTCCTAAAGTATTACTGTATTTCACAAGGACTCTGACACAACAACGCGAAGCATACGCTTTCGTTGCTTTTAATGAGTAAACACGCTAAACTTGGAGGCC